GAGTGAGGACAATTTCCACCTATTTATATTAGAAAATAATTTTAAAACATTAAATACCCATTGGGATGTGGTGAGGTGACTTCTTTTCTGGTGACACTTGACACTGCCACGCCCTTTTAGAAAAGAATCTGGCGATCCTTTGGGGGAGCCATAAATATGTCTGTAAGATTTCTGGGAACTTGGACTTAAGAAAGTACTGAGGAACATGAGTAAAGCGCATGAACACACATGGAGAACATTAGAAACAGCTGCAGGAGCCAATGAGCATGGCCGTGGAGGATTCGGGCAATGACGCCACAAAGCCAGCTTCCAAGCCCAGCTTCGCGCCTCTCCGGCCGGAAGACCCGGACAAGCTACGCACTCTCTGAGCCTCAGTTTCCTCAACTGGCAGCAGGGATAACAAACGTGCCAGTTTCCGAAGAGCACGGGGGAGAGATTCCGTCAGCCACAGCTCGTGCCTGAAAAAGTTAGTGCTCAGTAAATGGCAGCTACTCTTTTTGCAGCGTTGTGGTAAAATACATGTGACAAAATTTACCATTTCTGAAGAGCACAGTTCACTGGCATTTAGCACATTCACGTGGTTGTGCAATCGACACCGTAATTTCTGGAAAATGGTCCTCACCCCAAAGGGGAAACTTCATACCCACTAAGCAGTCACTTCCCTCTGAAATAAGAACGATGAAGATTGCAACATTGTAACGAAATCCTTATTATATAATGTTGAGTGGAAAAGTCGGGGTATAAAATTGCCCCATACGGTCAAAGTAGTAGTAGTAGAAGTAGTCAAAGAAGCATATCAGAAGCCTGAAAGAGGACTTCCGGCCACGATGGAGGCACGGGTGGATACACTGTGCTTTCTCGCACAACCAAAAGAAGGACAGCAACAAATTTAAAAACGAAAAAATAACCAGAACTGCCAGGAAATCGAACTGTATAGAAGTCTGACAACCAAGGAGTTAAAGAAGAAATATTCATCCGGACCTGTAGGAGGGGTAGAGACGGGCGGGTGGGCAGGGAGGACGTGTATCCAGGCAACAGCTGGAGGACCGGGGCAGGGGGCCGGTGGACCAGGCAGTCCCACATTTGTGTGCAGATAAACCGGGGGGAACAACTGGGGAGCGAGACACACCACACCACCCAGGGTTTGAGCGCGGGGAAACAAAGCCCCAAACCTCTGAATGTAAAAACTTGTGGGGGTTGCGGCAGCGGGAGAAACTCCCAGCCTCACAGGAGAGTTCATTAGAGAGACCCACAGGTTCCTACAATGTACACAGACCCACCCACCTGGGAATCAGCACCAGAAGGACCCAGTTTGCTTGTCGGTAGCAGGGGAAATGACTGAAAGCTGATGGAGAGCTGAGCAAGAGGCACTGTTCCCTCTCGGACCCCTCCTCACATACAGCATCACAAGGCAGAGACGTGGGTTGCCTTGCCCTGGTGAACACCTAAGGCTCTGCTTCTCACTATATAAAAGACGCATGGAAGGAAAAAAAAAGCCCCAAATGAAAGAACAGATCAAAGCTCCAGAAAAATTACAACTAAATTACAAAGAGATAGTCAACCTATCAGATGCAGACTTCAAAACACTGGTAATCAGGATGCTCACAAAAATGGTTGAGTATGGTTGCAAAACAGAGGAAAAAGCACAGGCCATGAAAACTGAAATAAGGGGAACCAACCAACAGTGAAGGGAAGGAGTCTGGAACTCCAATCCACAGATCGCAGGAAAAAGAAGAAATAAACATCCAACCAGAACAGAATGAAGAAACAAGAATTCAAAAAAATGAGAAGAGGCTTAGGAACCTCTGGAACAACTTTAAACTTGCCAACATCTGAATCATAGGGGTGCCACAAGGGGAAGAGCAAGAGCAAGAAATTCAAAACTTATTTGAAAAAAAAAAATATAGCCCTGGCTGGCATAGCTCAGTGGATTGAGCGCGGGCTGCAAACCAAAGTGTCACAGGTTCAATTCCCAGTCACGGCACATGCCTGGGTTGCAGGCCACGGCCCCCAGCAACTGCACATTGATGTTTCTCTCTCTCTCTTTCTCCCTCCCTTCCCTCTCTAAAAATAAATAAATAAAATCTTTTTTTAAAAAAGGAGAACTTCCCCAATCTGGCAAAGGAAATAGACTTCCAGGAAGTCCAAGAAGCTCAGAGAGTCCCACAGAAGTTGGGCCCAAGGAAGCACACACCAAGGCACATCACAATCACATTATCCAAGATTAAAGATAAGGAGAGAATCTTAAAAGCAGCAAGAGAAAAGGAGACAATTACCCACAACGTGAAAGGCAAGGACCTACATCCAAGATGACTATACCCAGCAAAGCTATCACTTAGAATGGAAGGACAGATAAAGTGCTTCCCAGAAAAGGTCAAGTTAAAGGAGTTCATCATCACTAAGCCCTTATTATATGAAATGTTAAAGGGACTTATCTAAGAAAAAAAAGATAAAAAATGCAAGCAGTAAAATGACAACAAACTCACAACTATCAAAATTGAACCTAAAAAAACAAAACAAAAACAAAATCGAACTAAGCAAACAACTAGAACAGGAAGAGATTCACAGAAATGGAGATCACATGGAGGGTTATCAATGGGGAGGGAAAGGGGGGAGAATAGGGGAAAAGGTACAGGGACTAAGAGGCATAAATGGTAGGTACAAAATAGGGGAAGGTTAAGAATAGTATGGGAATGGAGAAGCCAAAGAACTTATATGTATGACCCATGGACATGAACTAAGGTGGGGAAATGATGGTGAGGGGTGGGTACAGGGTGGAGGGGAATAAAGGGAGAAAAATATGGGACAACTGTAACAGCATAATCAATAAAATGTATTTTTTAAAAAGTCCTGAAAGAGAATATATAAAATAATAGCAGTTGTATTTCTCAATCTCTTTACAAAAAAAAAAAAAAGCTCTTTATAATGAAAAAAAAAGAGAAAAGAAAGAAAAAAATGAAAATGCAAACAAACCCCCAAACCCCACACAGAAGACCTGATTAATAAACCCAGGACCTGAGAACACGAAATCTTACATATTGTTTACACTCTCAAGGGTCAAACAGGAAAAAGGAGTTCGAGTATTATTAGGAACTAACACTTACCCAGTCTCAGAGGCAAACAAGAGATTAGCATCGCTGCTCTGTTGTCCTGGAACTTTCCCTGCACGTTTTGGATCCAGTAACCGTGTCTTCCGTCTCTGTCAACACAGGCACCCCAGGCGCCGGCCTCCTCAAGGAAGCCCAGGTGCCCGTGATCGAGAACAAGGTGTGCAACCGCCAGGAGTACCTGAACGGGAGGGTCAGGCCCACTGAGCTCTGCGCAGGGATCCTGAACAACCCGGACCCCCCCGACAGCTGCCAGGTGAGGGAAGGACGCAGACCGGCCATTCCAGGCTGGCCTGTCCGGGCCCTTACACAATTCAGCCCCAAAGCAGCAGATCCCGGAAGGGTCTGCCAGCCAAAGGCCGCGTTCTGAACGGTGCCCAGCACGGCCCTTCGGGCGTGTCCCCGAACGCTGACCCAGATCCTCGGGGTGGACTGTGTGGGCCTGGAGCTCCAGGCAGGTTGAGAGGGAGCCGTGAGGTCCCGCCTCTGCCTCCGCCCACATGTCTTTCGGGGACTGGGGGCGGCCCACCCAGTAGGAAAGCAGGAGAGGAAGCGGGAGAAGACCAGCGGTTTCCCCTGAGAAGCAGTTCTCGGGGTGCCTCTGCCCGAGGGAATCCCCAAGGCAGGAAGGGAAGAGCTCAGGGTTCACAGGGACTTTTTCCCCAGCAAACAGCAGTTGATGTGGGTATCGTGCATATACTTTGCTTAGCATAGCAGACGTTCGAACAGTAGGTGAATAAATGCCTTTCGGTTGGGAACAGAGTACTCGAATACTCAGAAAACTTCCCCTTGGGAAACGGAAGACCCCAGGGTGAAAGGTGGGCGGGTTAATCCTCACAGCCTTTCCCTCCCTCTTCCAGGGTGACAGCGGAGGGCCTCTGGTCTGCTTCGAGAAGGACAAGTACATTTTACAAGGAGTCACCTCGTGGGGTCTTGGCTGCGCAGGGTTCAATAAGCCTGGGGTCTACGTCCGTGTCTCCAGGTTTGTCAGCTGGATGGAAGAAGTAATGAGGAACAACTAACCGCACGGGAGACCGAGGGAGGCGTCCACGTGTCCGAGGCTGGAACGTGGGCAGGGAATTGAGCATGCTCAGAAAAATGATTGACAGCGATCGAATGGAGACACCACACTTAGCTCCCACCGGCTGCCAGTCCTCACCGCGTGTAGGACTGCAGGCACGCGTGTCCCGTGCACGGGCTGCTGGGCTCTGTGACCGTGAGCTCACGAACACAGAGATGACGCACGTTGGAAATAAACTCTCTGTTTACTTTGATTTTGTGATTTTCACTGTTTTCATGTTCTTGGTTCCTGCGACCCGTGTTAGCTGGTGTAGGACTAACAGACATGGGGTCTTGCTCCTTGTCCTAAGGAACAGCTGCATGTAGGGCGAGAAGCCTGCGAGGCCAGAAAGAAGTCCTTATAGGGACTTCTTTAATAGGGACACCCATGCGTCTACCTCATCGGTGAAAGACAGCGTGACGTGCGTCTTCAAGATCTTTATTTCTGGCACTGAGAAGAAGGTTTTCAAACCTGCAACACACACGGAGAATCACGAGAACAAATTTTCTTGGGAGTGAAACCTGTCACTGATGGTCTGACTTGAGCCCAGCCCCGGGGACCACAGACAGGGAGTTGTGTATCATGAAGCAAGCCAGGCAGTGGAGGGCAAACACAGGACCAGCTGAGGGTCCGAGGGTCACCTGGGTCACGTAGAGTCTAGGAAAGGTGCCGAGGGCCTGCGGAGGGGCGACAGGCATGCATGGGAGGCGGGGCCCCCAATTTCCAACCCTAGCTGGCTGCCCCAGTGTGAGGAGCACACTGTCACGTGGCAATAGTGTTGTACAGTGCCACGTGGTCCAAAGGAAGAGAAGGGGCAAATGCGGATTGTTCTCGACAATTTTAACATTTTTATTGTTCTCAGAACCGAAGTCTCAAACTCAAAATACAGTTGAAAGGGGGCAGCCACCCTGCAGCAAAGAGAAACGCAAAGAAAGCTGACGAGGGGAAGGTGAGGGCCGCGCGCAGCGGACAGCGCGGGGTCCGCTCCGTCGGGGGACGGGGATCTGGGGTCCGCGGTCAGCACACACTTCGACGTCCGCTCTGTCACGCGTTCACAGAGAGATTCCCCCCGTTGGCAAGACTTCCCTTTGGTGCCCAGGGGGCCTGTCTACACAGAAGAAGTCGTTAAAAAAAAAAATCTGCAAAAGGTAGATACGGACTCTGCGAGTATACCAAGCAAGAGGGCAGACGTCCGAGGCGGGACCCCGGAAAAAGACAGCGTGTGTGTATTTCAGCCCCCCGTGTCAAAGTCTCAGTAACGCCAAGAGGAAGCTCCGATCCCTTATTAACACCTACGCAGTCACCCATACAGTCTCTGCTCATTCTTCTCAGCATGGATACACTTGACCTTTCTTTCACATTGAAGTGTAAGCTACTTGCCGAGACAAGTGAAGAGTGTCTGGGTGGAAGGAGAACCGTCCGTGTTTTTCCCTCTTGACCGTGGGCACGGTCCGAGAACCGAACTCGCACATATAAGATAAATACCCCCTTACGGTTAAAGTCCTGCAGCCCATGAAATCATTCACACGCCCTGGGTTTTGTTCAGTAAAGAACAGGTAGGTGTCCCCCCAGGGAGGACCAAAACCACCCCCCCCACCCCGGCATCTTGGGACCCAACCTGGCTTTATAATAATCGATTCCTCCGCCGATGTGTGCTGGTCTGTGGCACGAGGCCTGAAGGCGCCTGCAGCCCCGATGCTGCCGGCGCTCCCGGAGCTCGAGGTGAGAAGGGGGAGCACAGGCTCAGCCCTGCCTGTCCCAGGGTCTCCATCATCCCGGGAGCCTTCCCGACGCTCAGGCCAGGGCCTCGGTTCCTCGGCCGGCTTCGGGGAGTCCGGTTCTGCGCACGTTTCCTCTGTTTCTGACGGAGCTGTTGGAGGGGCTGGACGGGGGCTTCTCTTGTCGTCTCTCTGTAACTGGTGGGTCGGCGGAGGCACTGCCCACGGTCAGAAAAACACCTCTTCTCCCACATCATATGAAAACCACTCTGGATGGTGTGGACGTCTTTGTGGAGTATTAACAACAGCAGGAGCCACGCCGCGCCGCGCGGCTGGAGTCGTGGACACACACGTCTCTGCAAGGCACTCCAGGTCCTGGGGGGTCGCCCGCGGGGGTGGGGGGCGGCTCCTCCCTCTCGTCTTTGGCAGGGGCCTCAAAGGTGAGAGCTGGAAACTGGGGTTTTCTTTTTCCTGCCACACGTATAGGAATACGGGCTAACAAAACAAAGGAGACAAGAGGAAGCCCTCGTTAAGGATTAAACCACAGCTGGGAGAAAGTCTTCTCTGACTTACTCAATCGTGTATTTGGTTTGGACCGACACCCAGGCGGGACTTTACACGGAAAACTCAGCCCAGAGGCAACCCAGCCCCTGGGCCCAGGCCCGGAGCTCACCGGCTCTCAGGCCCCCCTGCCCCGCCCCCCGCCCCAGGTGCCTTGGGAAGTTCTGCTGAGCAGCAGAGGGTTTGGAAATGAACTTGGAGTGTCAACAACAGCAACATACAACAGCACCAATGACACGACGATCAAGTGCACTTTTAGAAGGAAAGTGCTCCCGGGTTTGGTGCAAAATAGTTTTGTTTTTTTTCCCCCAGAGTCAACATCTATGGAATACGATTCAAGTGCTTAACTTATAAAACTGTAAACCAAGCTTTTACCAGGGTAAAATCAAGCTTTTTCCCCAAGGGCAGGGACTAGGCATGATTAACCATTTATCATATTTTTTTAATGACAAAAAGTTACAGACACAGGGAAAATTAGAAACAGTTCGTGTGGCCTGAGCTTTGGCTGGTGTGAGTCTCCCTGTTCCTCGGTGGTTTGGAGGCTGACCGTCCCTGCGCACCGGTCGCCCGCCCGCCTGGCTGCTCTCCAAAGCCCCACCCCTCCCGGCACCTCACTCTGACTTCAACGGCTCACTCAGCTCACTCGGTAGGAGAGTCCTGAGCTCAGATCACCCCGGTTCCCTCCACTCCTCCCTGAGGCGTTTGAGAAGCTGACCCCCGACTGCTTTGGGGGTCCTGCATGCGTGCACCGCTCCCGCTGTGCAAACAAGCGGCAGCACACGGGGCGCAGGGACAGGAGGAGCCACGCGGCAGCCCTGGCCCGAGATGGGTGGGGAGGAATCTGCGCCCAGACCGAGAGGGAGTCCGGGAGCCCTAACAGCATGACGTGCAGCCTCGATCTCCTGACCTCTGACCCTGACCCTGCAATCCGGGCTGGGATGCTGTCCCCAGTAACAGCCCTGAGCCACATCAGCCCAGGAGAAGTTAGCCTGACTGTCTGAACATCTCATTGTGTGACGGTCTTATTTCCGTTCCCACCATTCCCCACGGCTTCATTTAAGCTTCTTGAATGTTCTCCTTCCTCTGGATCTTCTAGTGTAGCACTGCTGGGATTGGGTGGCAGGACTGGACCCCACCTCCGCGACCCCGACCTGGCCCCAGACCCTGACTCCAACCAAGAAACTGCCTGTGATGATAGAATCAGCCCAGCTGGGTTTCTGCTTTCTGGATGAAGCAAGGCTTGCCCGTGGCCTAACACTCAAGGGGACTTCACAGCGTTTTGATGCCTTTTTAAATTTCTCTTCCTAATTTTAGTTTATAAAATGCCAGGGCTTAAGGACACTCTCCCACCTCACCCCAAACTTCTGGTAACATTGTTTGAGGGTGAAATGCAAGCAGAGCTTCGGGTGAGGGATAAGCCAGTCCCAAGCACTTCCGAACAAGCATAAGAATCTTTTTGGGGTGACTTCATGGGACAAATGACCCCTGTCCCCTGATTGGCCAGTCCTGCAAGGAGTCAGCTGCTGGATAGGGGCTGGTGGTTTGGTTCCTAGTGAGCTTTTCTTAGGAACATTCTGGGATGGTTAATCAATCTTACATTCCAAAATAGCATCAAGAAACAGGACAGTGAAATCACTAGATACGTTTTAAAGGTCTGGTAAAGCACCCGTGAGACCCTTAGCAAGGGTGGTCTACCTCTGGGGAGGCGGAGGGTGCCACATTAAGAGAGGGTATGAAGAGAGAAATTTCCAGTCCTCCACAGGGATACACACTATTGAAGAAAGTCATAATCAAGTAGAACACAGCATAAAATAATAAAAACCACACAAAACCACGGAGTCACGCCTGAGCACCAGAGAGCATCCGCCCCAGGCCTAGCAGGTAAAGTTGTGAAATCTGAGTGTCGATATCCCAGTACAGAAAACCGTGTGAGGATGAGAGCTCCTGCTGCCCCCGATCACTGTGCTTTAGACAAAATGACGCGTGTGAAACCATCGACCACACAGGTACCTGCAAAAGTGTACCTACTCTCTTCCCAGCGCACAAGTGAAGAAAAACTGAGCGACGTTACTGACGTGTCAGTCTTTTCGTAAATATTTTGATACATTTGTTTAAAATTTAGAGAGCCATCCCCATAATTTCCAGGTCATTATTTAGAAAAAGGGTCATTTTTATTTTTGAAATTAACTGTTCAGTTACTTTAAAAAATTACACAGATAACACAAGACAATGTGTTGTAAATTTTAAACAAATCAATATGGGTCCTGGCTGGCATAGCTCAGTGGATTGAGCAGGGGCTGCAAACCAAAGTGTCGCAGGTTTGATTCCCAGTCAGGGTACATGCCTGGGTTGCAGGCCATGACTCCCAGCAACCGCACATTGATGTTTTTCTCTCTCTCTCTCTATCTCCCTCCCTTCCCTCTCTATAAATAAATTTTAAAAAATCTTTTAAAAAATATTTTATTTATTTATTTATTTTAAAATTATAAATTTAAAAAATTTTTTAAATATTTTATTTATTTATTTTTAGAGAGGAAAGGGAGGGAGAGAGAGAGAGAGAGAGAAACATCAATGTGTGGTTGCTGGGAGTCATGGCCTGCAACCCAGGCATGTACCCTGGCTGGGAATTTTAAAAAATCTTTAAAAAAAATCAATACGGAAGTGTGCAGAGTATAACAAGGGTGCCTTGCCCTCTGCCCCCTTGCCCCACCTGTTTCTAGCCCCACAGAGTACGTGATATTATTTCAGATGTTTTCCTGTACACTCTCATATTCATAACCTCTCTTCCTGGCTTTTTATTATGAAAGATTTCAAACCTAGAAAATTAGAACTGGTGTAATGTGAGTTTTTGTGAGTGTGACAAAAACATATTCCATCTTTATACATGGGTTAGATCATCACTTTCCCTGCACACCATTAGACACACTTCTCCCAAGCCGTCTCTTTCCCTCCCATTCTCTCAGTTGCTTTAAAAAAAGATTGACTTATTTTTATGTTTTATGTTCCAATTATAGTTTTACATTCAGTGTTATCTTGTATTCATTTTAAGTGTATAGCGTAGTGTTTAGACAATCATACACTTTACAAAATGTTCCCCCGATATTTCCAGTGTCCTCACTTCTTTTTGTCAGTCTGTGTATCTCTGTCATAGTCACCTGTCCATCTGTCTATTTATCCATCTGTCTGTCTACCTCTATCGACTATCTTCTCATCTCGCTACAGAGAGAAATTTCTATTGGTTTTATTTTTTTAAGATTTTATTTATTTATTTTTAGAGAGGGAAGGGAGGGAGAAAGGGAGAAAGAGAGAGAGAGAGAGAGAGAGACATCAATGTGCGGTTGCTGGGGGTCATGGCCTGCAACCCAGGCATGTGCCCTGACTGAGAATCGAACCTGTGATGCTTTGGTTTGCAGCCTGTGCTCACTCCACTGAGCTAGGGCAGCCAGGGACTATTGGTTTTATTTTTTTAATAAATACCGTAACACATTTTTCAGTGCCTTTTCACTTCGTAACCTAATCTTGAACACCTTCCCATTTCGTTCCAGAGAGACACATCTTAGTTCTTCTACTTGCTGTATAGTAACCCATATTATAAATATATTATTTCTTACAATTACTTGCTTACTGATGCACATTTCACTTATTTCTACTTGGTCAAATCATCCATCCCTTTTCTTTAGAATGCTTCTGAGTTTTAAAACCCTACTCGGAATGTTTCCCTCTTCATGACCACCTTTAAAAAATGATACACATTCACTTACAGCTTTTTCCTTTTACATTAATGTCTTAGAGCTACTTTGAATTTTTGCTTAGGATGTGAGCCAGGGATTTAATATTCTTTTCCTCCCCACGGGCATTTAACTGTCTCTGTACCACCCCTTCCCCAGTGGCTGGAAATACTGCTTTTGTTTAGGAGGTGCTACAGTCCATACGGTACCTGCCGAGTTTTTCGACATCGTCCACCGTCTCCGGCAAGGCAATGCCCTTGGTTTCGGGCAACAGCATCACGAGGCCGCCGCAGACCGACGCCAGGACGCCTGCGGAACAGGGGAGGCGTCACCGCCGGGAACGCACGGCTGGCCCTCGTCCCTCCGCCCGCTCCCCAGCCTCAGCCCGCCCTCGGGGCAGCAGGCCCCGGTGACCCTGGCCAGCTCTGCGGCTTTCCTCTGCCGCCGTTTCTTCCCCTTCCTCAAACCCTGGGCAGTCCCAGCGCCCCAGGCTCTGGGCAGACATCCATCCGTGCCCCCGGCGGACCATCACTTACTGAGCGCCTGCTCGGGGCCCAGCACTCAAAGACGCCCCCCCCCACTTCCTGGGAACGCAGACGCCACCGGAGAGGCGTCCCCTCCGCGTCCTTTCACTGACCCTAGAACGTCACGGCTTCCTCTCAGCCCCCTTCCGCCAGCTCTCTGCCACGGCCACTGTAGGACCGGTCCCTTCTGCCAGCGTCAGCCTCTCGATCTTGCTATTTTAGGCCCCTCGCCAAAGTGATTAATCCTCTCCCCAGTGGCCCAGCGGTGGAGGCACCAGGACACACCCCCGTCTTTCGCCCTTCGGGGCCCTCCTATCAACCCCACGCCCCTGTTTACCACCCTCCCCGTTCCTGCCCTCCAGAGTAGAAATTTCCAGAACCCTGGGCTCTGCTATTTCCTCCCCATCTCATCTCCGTGGCGCGCCTGTGAGTATCCACCAAGCAGCTCTCCGGAAAGGAAGGCCCTGATCTGCAGCATCTGCCTATGGCCATGGTGTAAATATCTCCCCGCGGCCGACAATTCCAGCTCCCGCCGTGACATCGCCGAATAAGGCGCTGGGAAGAGAGGTGCCGTAGCACCCTATTTTACACAATTCCCACCGGAAAGATGCAAAGACATAGATGACCTCAGGAACACAGGAGCCAGCACATGTCACTGAATTAGGGACGGATGGGGTTTGAGTCTCTGTGTTATCTGTTTCTAGTGTGTTTTATGTGCTTCCGTTCTCAATCGCGGCTGTGTCGGACACGTGGCTCCCTCTGCGAGGGCAGGGCCCACATTCCAGCGCCCGTGCAGGCCGGGCCACCGCCTCCAAGGACTGGGCTCCAAAACCGCTCCGTCTTGGCTGAACTCCGCCTGCTCGTGCCGGCTACAGAGTCAGCGCTGGGCTTCATGCTCGGATCCCAGGACGTTATCTGAAATGTTCTTTCACCGATTTCACTGGTGTGGACCGGTGCGGGGGCTGGCTTTCCCGTCCCTAGCACCGTTAGGCTTTTGCATTGCGAGCATGTGCGTTCTCGTGGACTCAGCGTTTCCCTCGCCATCTGAAGGGCGAGCAGCGGGTGAAAAAGGAAGCAGAGGCGGAGGAAAGCTCGCCGGCTGCTGTAGGGCCCACCCGCACCCTTTCTCGCTGAGGGGGGGCGAGGGGCGGGGTCGGGCAGAGAGGCGGGGCAGCCGGTGAGAAGCACGGGACTGATTTACCCGAAGGTCCCTCCCAACGCTGCGATCCTCCCCCTTCCTGGGTCCTAGGAAGATCAGAGGGAGGGAGGCGGGGTGAAGCTGGGGGGCAGGGAAGAGGCTACGTCAGGTGTGCGAGGGGCCTGTGTCCTCTGCTCCTTCAGCGCTGCGTGTGGGGCATCAGAGCGAAGCAAGATGTGACGCTGATAGACACGGAACGTTTAATGCTGTAATTCGATTTCAGGCTTCTTTCCAACAGACCGAAGGTCTCCTTCGGTCTCATGAAAATCTCAATGTGCTCTAGGGCCGGCACACGGCTGCCCTCTGTCCCGCAGGTCTCCCGAAGGTCTCCCGAAGGTCTCCCGAAGGTCTCCTTCGGTCTCATGAAAACCGCTGGCATTTCATTACTCCCAATACCACCAAAGAGTTCGGAAGCACTGAACTCAGAACGCAAGCGAAGAAAGCTAAGTAAGTTGAACACTGCTCATCACAGCCCTTTCCTGTCTCGTCAGTTTAGGACATTGAGGGTGTCACACTTCACGGCAGTCGGATTGGCTCCTCAAAACCGACAGGGCTGCCGTTCAGATACCACGCGCCTATCAGGAACACGAAGCGTAAGGACGCGGAGAACGCGATGAGCGCGCGTGAGAGCGGCCCGCGCGGCCCAGTGAGAGCTCACCGAAGATGATGAGAGGTAGCTCCAGCCAGACGGCGGCCAGTCGGAAGAGCAGAAACGGGGCTATGATTCCCCCAAAGTCACATAAGCCCGAGCACAGCGAAACGCCGAAGTTTCTGGAGAGAAAAGAATGGCTGCAAATGAAAAACGTATTTAAATAACTTTGAGACATGCAACATATTCAGACGAGGAAGCAAGGAAGAAACTGTAACCGTGTTTTCCCCATTCCTGCGGTTTTGGGCTTAGAGAACGACCACTCCGCCACTCCCACGAGCAGACCGTGTGCGTTGGGCACCGCAGTTCCACACGCGGGTAAGTGCCGCGTCCCGTGTCCCGTGTCCTGCGAGGCTGCCAAGGAGCCGTGCAGGGCTGCCGGGGGCAGCATGCTCACCACCCAGCCGCCTCGGTGACACTCAGGTGCTCGCTCGGCACCCAGCCGGACCGGGCCCCGAACCTTCCCCGGGGAAAGCCGGCCAATGTGCTCTAGGGCCGGCACACGGCTGCCCTCTGTCCCGCAGTAAGTGTCTGCTCGCCGCGAGAGGATGTGGAACGGGGTGCCGACGGAGGCGGTGGCCTCCAGACAGGTGACGCCCACAAAGAGAGAGTTAACCCCACCAAGCGTGCACGCACTCGCCAGGTTTTCTGATTCCTAGTGCCTTTCCGCAAAACCACGGCTGCGCAAGACGAGACAGGCAGGAGAAATGCTCTTTCTTTCACAGAATGTGGACGGCCGCCAGGCGGAGAGAGGCCACAACTCACAGCACGCTGTCTTTGAGGCTGGGTTTGGCCCCCGTCAAGGTGTCACCAAGCGAAGGGAAACTGTTCCATGGTTTTTACATCAACTCAGAACACTTAGGACAAACCGCAACACACATGTGGGAATTACCGTAACGTCGTTGGGTACAACTCTGAATTCACCAAATACACGATCTCGAAGGCTATGGTGATGCCCAGCCTGCCCAGGGTGGCCACCGTGGTCCTCAGCCATGCTCTTCCTGAAACACACAGAGAGTGGGGGGCGGGAGTGAGGGTGTGCTTTCGGTACAGATTCACAGAACAATGCAAGTGCTCGGTGTTCTCCAAGCCCTCAGTCTTCGCTAATTTTAAGTGTAAATGGTTGAAACCTTCTACCATCGGAGCCAAATTTCAACTGCAGTAGCCACTACCGGGGTGATGGCTCGCGTTTGCCGGTGCTGACGGCACCTCTGCGCAGGGTCAGATGTCAGCAGCTCGACCCCGGCCCCGTCTGTTGGGCGGCCACGCACCGGAACAACGTTCGGAGCGGGGCCTTCCCAGGGGGGCCTGGCCACGCCGGCCTTCGGTCTGGAGGATGGCCTTCACCGTGCCCTTGAAAACATCGGCACTGTGTGGTGCCCGTTTGGGCTTTCTGGTCACTCCCCTTACTGGTGACACCCAGAAGCGCCGTCGCCAACAGGCCGGGAATGATCCGACACCAGGCTGCCTTTGGTTCCCGGAGAGCGGAGAGCGGCGAGGCTGGGAGGACTGCGGTCTTTGGAAGGGGGCGCCTCCGCCGTGCCTCATCGCTACATTGGTCGCCCATTGTCTCCCTCATGTCACCCCCAGTCTTGCTACTTTCACCAAGGAATTATCCGGAAGAGCCAGATTCTGTAGCACCAGTCGACTCATTCGTTTACAGATAAACTGACTCAGTGCTCCTATGGTTGTACGGAGAGGCGCCCAACGTTCTTTATTAAACGCCTTCCTGCTTTTGTGTTTAAGGAAGGAGCAACCGTTCTTGTCCTAAAAGGTTAGAGCCCCGGGGTCCTTGGGCCGAGCACTGTCTGGCCCCCTCTCCGGTGGCCTCAGTGTGAGCAGGGGCAGCTCGTGCTCCGCACGCCCGACCCCCAGCTTTGGAAGGGAAACCCTTCCCTTTTACAGCCGATACTTATTTCTGCACACTCCGCACTGAACGATCCTGCCGTCTTCTGGGAATGACTGCCCCTGCCTGGACACATAAATGTTTTAGTAGGAAAGTAGGAGCGGATGAGGAGGATGAAGAAGAGGGTGAGTTCAGTAGATCGACGCCTGTCCTCTCTAAAGGAGAGCCAACCAATAAAAAGAGCTAACGCCCACTACAGGCAACTGTTGTCCGGGAGGGCATGCAGAGACAAAGGTGGCGCAGGAAATGCAGGCCGTGGCGGGGAGGCCCCTAGCTCTTTGGGTCTGGACCGCAGGCTGGCCGAGGCTGGCCTGGCGACCTGATGTCTTCCCCGGGCCAGGTCACCTGAAGCGCTCCTGGAACAGTCCCACCGGGGCGTGGGCACAGCCGAGCTGGGCTGTCTGGGCCGCCGCCTGCTCTGGCACCGAAGTCCAGTGGCCAATGTGGGTTTTCTTTATACCCCGCTTTCTCATGAAAGCCAGGGAGAGGGACCGGGAAACGCATCCTCCGCTCCCCTGGGGGAGCAGGCGGTTCGTTGCCAGGTGCTGGGGAAGGGAATGTGGGGGCCGGTGCCGATCCCCTGGGCCTGCCCGGCCGGCCCCCCTACCCCCACTGCTCTCGGGCAGCGAGGAGGAAGGCTGCCCGCTAACGTGGAGAGAACTTCCTCACCCCGGGCCGGTCCCCAGACCACAGGCTTCTCTGCTGAATCAAGACCGCTCTGGCAGTCCTGGTGACACCTGCAGTGACAAGCTAAGTTTACAGCCGAGGCTAGGACAGTTTGCTGGGGAGAACCAGACAAAAATCAAATTAAAGCACCCACACACACACACCATGAAAACCATCCAGTGAGTTCAGAAAATCATTCAGAAAATGCTGTCCCGTTGACACCCTTGAGGAGACTGGGTTGGTCCTACGTGGTGACCTTACACTGAAAGACCCTCAACTCACGCCCAGCTGCGGAGGCCAGGACAGAACCGCCCTTACACAGTGACAGGGGTCGTGTGGAAATGTGTGACAGGTGGCCCTAGGACACCACACTGTCCCTCAGAAGAACGAAGCAAAAACAATTTATTAGAAAGTGTTAGTGACGTGTGACTGTTATACAAACTCTCTCATCATCCCAGTAATGTGCTGAATTTATGGTGGAGTGACAGTAGACATCTTGTGATGATAATGACCAAAAAAAAATACCCCACAAGGCAATTTAAAAATGAGTACTGAAGCTGAAACCGCCTTCCAGAGTTGTGCGGACTCAGAGAAAGGCCCCTCTGAATGGGGGTTGGTCAAGCTTCTAGGGATTACTGGGAATAATAGCTCAATTTTTGAAAAGTAAATGCAAGATTTTAAACAAACACAAGTTTGCATCTCCTCTGAACATACCATCTGTTCTCAGTTCTGAGATAAAATTTAGTGAAAATTCCTACTAGAGGTATGTGAATTAAGATGCATAAACTTACTTTTCACTTAAGGAAAAATAAAAGTACAAGGCAGACTTAGCCACACTGCCAGGTTTGGGGCCAGCCTAAAGAAACCCAAGTCAGAGACGGCAGACGAGGCAAAGAGAGCTCTGTGTGTTTCAGACTCCGGAGCTCAAAAATGAGACCGACAGCAGCGAGTCTTGGGTGAGGATACACACAGCCAGAAAACTCTTTCTTTTCCCACAGTTTCATTCTTCAGACCCTGAGAAGCTGAGCGTAGTGGAGGGAAAGCCGATTAAACTGCTTTCTGGAGATGGTGGAAGAGCCGATTCCTCTAAAAGGCCGACCAGCATTCTCCAGTTGGTGACGCCGGGAGTGACCGAGGGGAGAGTCTTCTGACGTTAACTGAAAAGCCAAAAGCAGCGAGTCCCATCACTCTCTGAGCGGGTCTAAGGGCTGTCAGCCCCCGGCAGGAGCCTGTCAGGATCTGGCGCTCACAGGGTGCAGTCGGGGTTCGGAACCCACTGTTGTCAATCACGGCTAACACGTGTCTGCAGAAACAGCCGAGTCTGCAGCCCACGTATGTAAAATCTGTCCAAACTAGGAGTCATTGTTGTAGGTTGCTGTGCATGATGTGCTCCCATGATTCTGGCCCACACTTTCAGGAAAAAGATCTTTCATTTTAATTTTTTAAATTCAGTTATTTCTTTCTATTTAGAAACAAAACCTGTTATCGTATGCCAGGGTATGATTTTGCATGTGGGTATTGTGATTGCTTTCTAGAGTTGCACTTTTCATGCACACTCGTAAAGAAAAGAATTGAAAACATTTACATAGATATGGAATTTGCACTACCCGTGCATAATGTGCATCCTTATTGTTCCCTCAGAAATTTAGATTAAAAAATGCACATTATACACAGCAAATTACGGTAATTTTCGACATTGCTAAGAATAGGTCTAAAGCTTAACATGAGAAATTACATCCACAAAATAAAACTGACCCAACTAAGCAAATGCCCCCTATTTTCTAATATACGAACGTGTTCTCCGCACAACGGCGTGAGCCCCGCCCACCCAGTTACGCCCACACTGGCTTGGACGTCCGGCCGGCCCTGTGGTCACGCCGAAGGCAGCGCCCACTGCAGCCACCCGAGCTGACAGCCGCACCACAGCAGTAGCCTCTCTGGGCCTCTCTAGGGAAGCTAGCTTCCCTAGCTTCACGCGCAGTGGGTGCTCAGTTCTTACTGCACAGGCGGTGGGAACAGAGGACCGCGTCTTAGGGAACCCCATTTTTAAATGAAACCCCAAGGCATGTGCTATGAAAGGAAAGTGGAATAAAAAGAGAGGTCTCCTACGTTCCTGATATGCCCCCCCTTCCACTCACCCTGCACTTAACCCCCGAAGACAGGAATTATGAATATTTTGTTCATGTTCGCCCCCCAGTCCTGGTCTAGTGGCCACGATGAATAGGTACAGATAGGCACGCTTTGGCCGATATCTCTTACGCAGATTCCCCAGCTCTCAGCACGTGTTAACACAGCAGTGTAGTGGGCTGACTACTGTCCCCCTCGGAACGTGACCTTATCCGGAAGGAAGGTCTCTGCAGATGTGGCGGTTAGGACAGAGACGCAGAGAGGTCACGGGAAGACGGAGGCAGAGACTGGTCGGAGGCCAGCAACGCTGGCGACCTCCAGGAGCTGGGGGGCAGGCCGGGAGGGGTCCTCCCCTGGAGCCTGCAGAGAGAGCGTGGCCCTGCGACACGCCAGGGTCCAGGCTCCCGGACCTTGTGGTGTCAAGCCACCCAGACTGTGCAGCTTCGTTGCTGCAGCCCCAGGGAATGAACACGGGCTGGGAAACCGAGAGGAATGCGGCCCGTCAGGGCCGCTGATCACCAGCCATTCCAGCACCACACGGGGCTTCACGTCTTTCCCCTTCTCTGCTACAGATAGGCAGTTCTGTGATTGTATTTAAATAGGTTCTACCCGATGTTTGGGGACTGCATAAACTCATCTACAAATACCTGACTGTTTTGACCTCTGCATCTTACCACATCTCTCCTGGTCCTCAGGGCTCTCAACAAAGCAAAACCAACAAACATGCAAACAGCCTGTCAGGCTGACGCAAAGGGCCCCCGGAGAACCCAGCTCTCCTGTTGCCCCCCCCCCACACACTGACACTCGCCCCACACCCAGGAATGATTAACCTGCTGTGACTCGCACGTTCCCGGGGACTCCCCAAGTCCCACCTGGCTGTGTGTGGTGGCAGATGCCATCTGGGGTGCACTCACCATGTGTTCGGAGACACCTGCCACCTCCGTACCGGCCATCAGTTCCCGAAAACTCTGTTCCAGAATCATCTCTGGAACCACCCATCCCATCCCGGCCCGACCGCCACTCCCTTTGTCTGAGTTCTGGACAGTCACTGTCCAGAGCACTGGGGCTGCAGATGGCCACCCACTCACGGTCATTGTCCAGACTTCTGTGGCTGCAGACGGCCACCCACTCACAGTCACTGTCCAGAGCACTGGGGCTGCCAACGGCCACCCCTTCACGGTCACTGTCCAGACTGCTGTAGCTACAGACAGCCACCCCTCCCCCATCTCCTCACGAAGCTCACAAGACTGTAAGCAAGCTCCCGGCATGGTTTGGTCACCACCAGTGACAGATGACCCTTCTGTTCCTCACCTGGATAACAGTGACAACCAACAACGCCTGGTTCTGACCCCTCGGAGGCGACCCCTGCTCCCAGGAACCACACTCCACGTTGGAGAAGTTGTCGGCAGACCCCCCTCTGCCCAACGCCTCCCTGTCCCTTCTTCCACACCCCAGCCCCCCCTCCAGGAAGCTTTCCCAATCCCGCCCCGCCCCCCACCCCCCGCAGAGGAATCACTCCTCACACCTCTTTACCAGGATTTTCCTGCTATTTCTAAATCTTGTAATTACAGCTATTTCCTTCATCACAGTGCGCCGGGAGAGTATTGAAGTGTCTTGATCCCCTACTAGTCCGGGAACCGGTTGAAGTCAAGAACTGCGTCTTTGCCCCCCTGGAACCTCTGGTTCCCGTGGGGCCAGTGACGTGGCCGGTGACGTGGCCGGTGCTCAGGAAGTGCCTTGAGCCCGGTCATGCTGTCACAAGTCAGATCCATAAAGGAGGTCAGCAGTAAATGACATCGCCTCGAGCTGGAGGTCACTCAGTCACACCCACACGTGCACCTAGAAAGGGAGCGCCAGAGCAGTCTGCAGGAGCACTCTCCCACGCTCGAGAGTCTTCCCCGGGACTAGGCGGAAAATCGAGTGACACACCACTGACGTGTGCCCGGCACCGGGGATGCGATGCCATGGTGTATTTTCTAAGGACGAGCGTCTGCCCTCATGCTGGGTTGCTTTCCGTGTAAGCTCCCTTTCCAAGTTCTCGGCTGCCACCCCGAGTGGGAAGGCAATTACCCTCGGGTAGGAAGGCCGTGACCAGGCACGCCACTCCGGCCACGATGTTGCTCGCTGCAAAGGGGAGGCGGCGTCCGATGCGCTCGATGGTCAGGAGGATGAGAAGCGCTCCCGGCAGCTCCACGACGCCGGAGATGAAGAAGTCGACGTAGAGGTTGCCTCCTATGATGCCCAGGCGCATGACCAGCCCCTGGTACACCACGGCGCTGGTGAACCTGCAGCGACACCGGGAGACAGCGGAGAGCCAGTAAGAGGCGACGTAACCCCGACTGGCAGGAAGGGGCGCAGCGTAAATTTGACACAAGCTTTTGAATCCGTCACAAGGCCAACTTACCAAGCAAACATAAGAATAAGTGTGCACTTCCTCATTTGGGGAGTTCTCACCAGATCTAAAAAGGATGGATTACTAACTTCCTCATCTGAAACAGTGATCTACACAAGAGAAGCAGATTTCAGTAGCAATACACGGCAAGCAACACCTGCACATTACAGAATTGTCATTGACCAGGTTCAACGCTCCCGCATCCATGACCTTACTGGACCCGGGACTTTCACGGTGACTGACATCTTAAAACCGAGAGTGAAACGTTTGGTTCTCTAGCCTTTTCAACAGGCCAAGTTCACAAAGAAACGTTTGGTTCTCTAGCCTTTTCAACAGGCCAAGTTCACAAAGGTGTGGTTGCTGCACTGAGAATGTCCTCGTAGGCTAACATTAGCAGTACTGCGTGCCACACTGCTCTGAGTAAACAAGGAAAAATGGGGTGTTCGACAGTCAAGTGCATTTGTGTGTTTATGACATTGCAGAAAACCAGCATAAACGTGGCCAAAGCAAGTGGGATCCAAATAAGTGCTTCTTAATCGATTCAGTCCTTAAACCTTATGCTGACAAGTGAGATAGAGTAACGTTAAGTTCAAGAGCAAGCGTGGCACCAAAGGTATCATTTTTGTGTCCGTCCCTCTAGCATCTTTCTGATCCAGACAAATCCAGTTCATTCCTCTTTGGCCGTCCCTGAAATTGGTCTTTTCTTTAGCTGAGTTTGAAACCAAGGTCGCTGTTTGCTGCCCATGGGCAAGGTGCAATGAAACAACGCTGAACAGCAAACCCTCCACAACCAAAGGAACCCTCACGTTGCCATGCCCCGAGTGACAGTGGCTTTGCATTTCCATGGGCCGGCACACTCTGTAACCTCTGCTCCAAGGGCCCTTCGACCCGCCCAGCCCTGATTCCACCTCCACAGGGAGGTCCTTGCCAACCTCAGGTGGAGCTGATGACTCCAATCCGGGCCTCTGTTACCCAGACCTGTGACCTTGAACCTACCGCCTTGTACATACTGCTTCTGTCTCTCCCTTCATGAGCTCGGGTCTGTGGGGTGGCACCAAGCAAAGTGCCTTGGGTTCACCCAAGGTTTGGCTGATGACTGGATGTTGAACAAGAAGACGGATGCCCTGCCCATGTCTGGGCCCTGCTGTCTGGTTAACTCAACTCCAGCTCTGGCCCAGATTGGGTGGAAATCTGGGCAAATTTTCCTCAAGCCTTTGAGCCAAAAGTCCCTCTACCAGCAGTGACAGGAATTTGACTTTGAGTAAATTTTCACTGATAGTGGTCAAGCAGCTATTCTAAACATCATTCGCAACGGTCAACCAATGCTTGGTATCTCTGGCCTACGCTTGCTCCAGGGAGACTCGAACACACACAGAACACGGAAGAAGACTGCAAAATGAGTGTCTTTGGATCACGTTCTTGTCCTAAGTCTTTTCAATGTTTTATTTCTACTATTGCAAGACACATATTTTTTCATATTTTTACATCTCTTAAATTGGGACATGTCCTACAACCGAGCTGGTAGGAAAGCCATGAGTCATAGTTTAAATAACACAGTTTTTCTCCCTTCCTAGTGATAAATAGAATGAGGATGTGTCTCAATATCGATAGTCTTAGCGTTGATGGAACAATGATAGCTTCCATGATGATGCCCATGCAAGACCGCTCGTCGGTTCTACCATCCACTCTTTTCCTCTCCCTTTGAATTCAGAATTCCCTGAAACTTAGTTGGGCGCATGGCTGCCCTGCTGAAGTCACGTCGTCTAGCTTCTCTTTCAGCTTTGGGTGGCCCCGTGACTAAGGTCTCACCATTGAGGTGGCAACCATGTGTGTAGTTCTGGGTCTCATCCTTTAAAACGGAAATGGCTTGCTCTTCATCCACTGCCTTCCCCTTCCCGAAGGAGGGGACAAAGGAGATGCGGGTGAACCAGCTTCACTCACGCAGCCCGTCACAGGAGACGGTGCGGAGACAAGACGAATGGAACCCGGGTCCTGCAAGGTCTCACACAGCAGAGCCGCCCTCCAGAGCCAGGCTCCGCGCCTCTGGGCGCACGTGTTACAGAGACATATCTCTCCTCTTTGTCACGACATATTCTGTGTCTCTGTTCCCCTTGCGAGCTGACTGCGCCTTGTTGAACAGGGCCCACCAAGCCGCCCCCTGAGCTCGTCTTCTAAACGTTAGGACCTCCCAAGGAAGGATTTTTAAACCTACCTTCCCCTCTACTGCTCCAAAAAGAAGGCACAGATACCGAAAGTATAGGATAAGAATTTAGTATATTATAATAACATATTATTATGATGTTGGTTATCAAAATGTTTTTCACAAGGAGTTTCTATACATTATTTATATAAAAATGGCGAGCTTCTATGGAGTATATAATACCGGTTAGGTTCTGGGATTTCATTTAATTTTCATCAGAGCTCTGTGACATTAGCATCGTAGTCCCCCCCTTCCTGCAGTTTTGGTTGCCTGTGGTGAACCATGGTCTGAAAATATTAAAAAGAAAATTCTAGAAATAAACCACTCATACGTTTTAAATTGGTGCTGTTCTGAGTAGTATGGGGACACCGTGCACTGTCCCACTGTCCCACCTTGGACGTGAAGCAAGGACTTTGTCCAGAGTCCTCACGCGGTGTTGTGGTGTCACAGTGCATGCGTTCAAGCCACCCGTACTTCACTCAGTAATGGCCCCAAGCACAGCCAGGCACGGTTCTTAGCTGTTTCTCAGTGATCCCCTAACGCGCATCTTGCCTTCCTGTCCGCTCTTGTGATGTCCCCTTTTTCCGGGTCAGCTCTCTAGACTGGTTGTCACTGGTTAAGTCACTTTGTGACCACGGAATGACAACATGTAGACTTTGACAAGCCAGGAGAGGTCTGAGGTCAAGCCCAGAGGTGAGCAAACCCTTTCTGTGAAGAGCCGGGTAGTGAGCACCCTCAGTTTTGCAGACTCTAAGGTCTCCGTTCAAAGTACAGTTGACCCTTGAAAAATGTGGGAGTTAGGGCTGCCCACGACTCGCACAGTCAAACATCTGTGTACCACCCACATCCGCCCTGGGCATACGTGTACCCCAAACTTGGATGGAAAACACAGTTGGTTTATGAACAGCTTGGGCCCACTTATCCATGTGTGGCTGGACCCAAACAGTTCACACGTGCATCGTTCAAGGGCCAATGAAAACGCAAAGTCGTTTACCCAACGAGGACCTGCACACAGTAAGAAGATGAACCCGGAGGTTGATACCCAAGTCTGTATTGCTAACTGTTATGCTATACTGGCTTGAAAGTATGCAGAGTATAATATTCATTTTATTGTTTAAAAGTATGTTCGTATCATTTCATCAATGGCTCTCACAGAGCAGTGGAATAACAGTGGGTTTTACTTTCTTCTTTTTGGCCACAAATATTCTTTTAAAATTAAAATTTAACCTACGTAACTTTTGTAACAAGGAAAAAAGCTCATAAATTTTAAATTAAACGCTAGTATATCTTTTTTTGCTGTTGACTCAGCATCTTTCTCCCTTTCTCTTTCTTAACAGAACCCACACAGCACACCCCCACAACACACACACACAATTCATCCATTCATCTTCTCCGGGAAGCTGACTATGTCCAGTTGCAGGGAAGCCTGATTATCTAAGGCTCAGTCCACACTCTCTGCAGTGACTGGACACGTGACCCATTCTGAGGCAGTGAGTAATGGACATGTGACCCAATTGGAACCAATGAAGAAAGAGCTTCTGGGAAAGTCTTGCATTGCCCTTACATCAGAGATTCCCAAAGGAAATCTCCTCTCTCTTTGCTCAGGGAATTAAGGAGGAAAGGGTGGGCTCCAACACACCTCCACAGCCACCCTATGCCCGGGAGAGAAGCAGTGTAAAGGTGAGGTAAGCTGCCCTGCCGGCAGGGCCCAGAGGGAGAACACGGTGCTGGAGATGGAGACCTGATTCCGGCCCGCTCGGAGCCCTTCTGTAACTCGAGAACTCCGGAGACGGGAGCCAGGAAATGTGCTCATTGTCAAGGCCCAATTAAGCTGGTGTTCTGTCACTGGTTGCCAAACGCAGAATGATCTGGAGAATTTAGCCCAGAACAATGCTTTTTCTTTAATAACTCAATATTTTAGGCAAAATAATAATTCCGTGTTGGATAAAATCATTGCTTCCGCACCCTAGTTCACTGAGTCAAAAATATTTGGTATTCGTCTTCATTTCAAACTTTGAAGGTTTAAAATCAGCCTGTCACATGGCCACCGCTCTGTGAAAGCACAAGGGGAATGCGGAAGGTGCAGCCTCCAGCGACGGAGCGTGTAGCGCCTGTAACGAGGGAAGGTCGCCAGGACGGCGAGACCAGCCCTGCCTGTCCAGTGAATAGAAGGATTAATAGTACTTCCAAGCAAGTCAGAATTTTGCCAACTCAAGAACAAATCCAGCTGGTCTTTGATTTACTAGCATGTTCTCCACAGTGACGCAGATACCCTGAAAGATGACCCACTTTATGGGTGTCCGCGGGCCCTGAGAGGGTGAAAGCTGCGTCTTGGACGGCCTCCGCCTGGTAACGTGTTGGCCGCGCCTGGGCCGTGACGCCTGCTGCTGGCGACCTTTCACAGCTTCCAGCTTCACAGCTTTTACAGCTCCGAGTTCGGAAATTCGGCCGTGCTTATTTTCTACCACCCAAGGGTGAGCACATTTTGCCTAGTCTGAGTCCGATACAAAAGAATAGAAAAGCTGTATCAAGTTACTGAATGTCCTTTTACATTCACTTTACGGAGATACATATAAATCACATCCAAGAGAACTCAGCCATTCTAAGCAAACACTCGAATGAGTTTGGTACATGTGTAGAGTTACGTAACCGCCAGCAGCGTCATGATCTGGAACATTCCCACAACCCTGAAAAGTTTCCTCTCGTCTCTTCCCAGTCAAGCCTCCCCCCCAGACCCTGAGCCCCTGGCCACCCTCCGCCTGCTTTCTATCACGACAGTGCTGCTTGTCTAGAATTCCACATACGTGACCATGCAGAGCGCCACCTTTAGACTCCAACATGTCATTGCATTCCATCACACATTTATGCCACCTGAGTGGTACATGTCTGTGCTCATTTGGAACAAAAGGA